GTACCCAACACAGCAGCAGTAAGGACACACCGCGGGAAATCCCGTAAATCTGCTGTACCCGCGTTCGTAATTCCCCGGGTAAAACCCGCAAATATACGGCATCGATCGCGAGTCCCCCTTACTGCTGCTGTTGAGATAAAAGAATTGCAAGTAATATCCTGAACAATAATGTGCACGATTAAAATCCACCCAGATTACACAGATTTTGGACTTCTTGATTTAATTTCTTTCTGAATGTTTTGGATGCCAAACCTTTTCATTTTTTCCACGGCATCTGATAAATAAAGAACAAGGCTATTAGCATATGTACACCATAGCTGTCTATCTATTAGCCTTTTGGTTTTCTCAGCTCTTACACTTGCCTTGACAAATATGGTCAAAGGGCGCTCGTATTTCTGTCAGCATTCCTGCCTCAGCCGATGCCTTCATAAACTTTTCATGAAACGCCCATATCGCAGTTACGGCTGCTTCTCCAGCGATGATTGCCTCTTTGAGGAGTACCTTGACATCTTCATTAGACATCTTGTGTTGGGCAGCCATTGCACAGTCTAAGGATCCTTGTTCGGAAGTCTAGCGTGAACATTAGCGCGGGCCATAACTTTTTTTTTATAACATAATCATGCCTACGTGGTCGACTTGTGTATTTTACGTACGCTGTTTTGAGATCTTACTGATAACAAAACAGGAACCGTGCATGCCTAAGTTACAGAACAAAACTCACGCGACTCTGTGAATGCCACAATTAACTCAAATGTTGCGATTCACCCTTGTTCTTCTTTTTTGTGATTCACGGTTCAGTAAAACATTGTCCTTACAACTACAATTTCATGTTCGTTGATCCTCAATGAGTATTTTGCACAGTGACTTGCTGCAAAAATTTGTAGTTTCTCGAGAATGCCAAAATTTTGACTATCATTTTTTATAATAACTASATGTCGAGATTCGTTATGACTGAATGTTTTCGTGATAAGGGAATCACGACATCGAGTACGACATACATTCTCAGTGGTATGCAATGTTATGATAGTTTTCAATCAAGAAACTACCCAGTCATTCTGTTGTATAAAATTTATACAAGTGTTTAAGCATTGGACACAGGCATTTTATTCATCCCAACATAATGGACAGTCATTTTCTACACGACTGTGGGTTACAGGGTAATGATGATTTGAACCAAGAATTGGATGCAGTACGTCAAGAGTATTTCTCTACAAGGGCTAGAGAGAGAGAAAACAGCATTTCTGGTAGCAGCGACAGCGATGCATCGAATTCTGAAAGTGAACAATGTGAACTGGAAGATGAAAGTATGTGTGTCTGAAGGTGTGCAAGATGAGGAAGAGTATGATTTTAGCAGCCAAACAAGAACTTTCCTAGAATCCAACTGCGGCTGTAACTATGAAAAAGATAATGGCCCTTGTAACAAGTTGTTTAGTTTCGAAGTAATGTTAGAATATCGACTTCAGTGCGCAGAACTTACGAAAGCTGAACTTAATCTCATAATTTTAGGCGCTTTACAAAGTCAAAGGAAGATGGTAACTGGAAATAAATGGTCAAGGTCGAGGTATTATTTCCTTGGTCATCAGGTTTGTAAGACAACATTTCTATTTTCATATGGAATTGGTAAACACAGACTGCAGAGCTTAAAATCCCATATTCAAAATCATTGAATAGCTCCAAGAAGGCACGGCAATACTTCTCGCTTGCCGCATAATGTGCTTTCACATGAAACAGTAACAAGAACTGTAAGTTTCATAAAAAATTTTGCAGTTGAACAAGCTGTTGCACTGCCAGGTAGAGTTCCACAATTTAAAAGTGATAAAGTCCAGCTGGTACCATCTTCTGAATCAAAAGCATCTGTCTGGCGAAAGTATAAAACTGCTTCAGAGGAAGCAAATGTAACTGCTGTTAGTAATCCAAAATTCGTTAATCTCTGGAATACTTTCACACCATATATTCTGATAATGACTCCAGCCACCAACCTCTGCCACACTTGCCAAATGACCAACGCTAAGATATCTAGAAATGTAAATGTAAGTGACCAGGATAAGGCCAAGTACCTTCAAGAGCAAGAAACACACTTGAAGGAAGCTCAGGCTGAGCGTGAGTTTATGAAAGCCTGCATTTCCAACTGTAAAGAGGCAATGAAAGGTAGTGATATTAACCTCTTATCTGGTAACCCAAGCTGCTCTTTTGAAGGAACTGTTCACTATTCCTACGATTATGCCCAACAAGCTCACATTCCGTCTAATCCACAACAACCCGGGCCAATATATTTCAAAGTTCCGCGGAAATGTGGCCTATTTGGTATCTGTTTTGAGGGGATACCCAGACAAGTAAATTATTTAATTGATAAAGCCGTAGATACAGGTAAAGGTGCCAATACAGTTATTAGCTGTGTTCATGACTTTTTTACATCACACGGGGCAGGAGAGACAAATGTTCAGGTTCATGCCGATAACTGTGGTGGGCAAAACAAAAATAATTATGTAATTTGGTATTACTGTTTGAGAGTTCTTTGTGGCCAACACCACTCAATACTATATTCTTTCTTAATTGCGGGACACACTAAATTTAGTCCTGACTGGTGTTTTGGTTTGTTAAAGCAGTCGTTTAGAAGACGCTATGTGTCATCCCTTTTCGACTCATTAGAGGCTGTAGACAAGTCGACAGTATCTGGAGTAAACATAGGAAAATTATGTGGTTTACATGATGGAAATGTTTTAGTGCCGGTCTATGATTGGGTGTCTTTCTTTAAACAGTACTTTAAGAAAATAAAAGGAATTAGTAAGTTTCACCATTTTAGATTTTCGAAAGAGCACCCAGGAGTAGTTTACTGTCGAAAGCTTATAGACTCTCCCGAAATAAAACACCAAGTATTGAAAGACCTCTCAATCAAACCACCATATCGGCTTCCTGAAATTATCATTCCTAGGGGTCTGGATGGAGATAGAAGGCAATATTTGTACAACGAAATAAGGGAGTTCTGTCGGCCTGGCACTGAAGATATGATAGCGTCTGTACCATAACATGTCATTGTGTCAGCTATCAACAATAAGTATTGCAGTGAACTTGAACAGTTGCACAAAGAAAAGACTTGAGATAATTGTAACAAACTAATTTTTGAAATTGTTAGCTATTCTAATAAAGAAGTGATTTATCACTGAAGAAAGGGATTCCGATATTTAATTTCCATAGATTTCGATTTCAAGTCCTTGTTATCGTACTGGCAGAAAGCGTTGCGTGACGACACTGAAAGCGGCTGTGTGGGAGACTACGTACATGCTAGTAACTCATAAGAAGTGTAGAAATTCTTAATTTTATATAAAAATTACATTTATACGGAAAATATGGCTTTGTGCAACGCCGTTTGTTGTCTTAATGGTGGGAACTAACTACATAAGACAAGCGCTGGTTAATCAGGTAAATTTAATGCATGTCATAGATCATGGGCCAAATGACATCGAAACATAACCTGCCACAACAACGCGTGCATCACTCGTGAATACCGTCGATTGCATCTACCCGTTAACCCATGTGAACAAAACGTTTTCGCGTCAAACATCTATGTTTGGCATATCAATGTTCAAACTTTTCCCGCCTTCAAAGAAAGTTTACGAGCCTATGTTTTCAATAAACAAAGAAGGAAGAAATTATCAAAATGGTGTTCCACTTTATAAAGATATTAGAAATCGAGTCATTGAACTTGCACAGTATCATTCCTTTGCAGAGCTTGGACGAAGATTGCGTGTAAGCAACGTAACAGTTTCAAATATCGTCAAGAAGTATAATTTAAGCGGACGCACGTCACAAACAGGCAAGTAGTAAACTTTGAACTTTGATATGCCAAACACAGATGTTTGACGTCACGAAAAAACATGTTTTGTTCGCTTGGGTTAACTGGTAGATGCAATCGACGGTATCTTAATTTCAACGTTTTTGTTTTTGTGAATTACAGTTGAAAAATAGGAAAGTATGAAAGTTCATACACGTATACACATATATTTCAATAACGGGTAAATCCCCGCTAATTAGGTACGCCAACGGCCTTCAGATTTCTAACGGAATACAGTACGAATTCGTCGAATGCGTTGGGGACTTTTTAAACATTACGCCAACGATACGAGAATGTTTGCAAAAGCGTTGGAAAATGCTTTTCTACGATTTCTCCAAACATAACAACTTTTCAAGGTACATTTACATACAAGGGCAAAGAGCAACTCCACAATTTGGGTCCGCGACACAATGAAAAAAAAATCTACGAGCTGAGTGACAGGCGCCGCTGTGGCGCGAGTAATAAATAAGAAACCTTTGACATGTTCTTTTACAAAGATGATATTAGATAATCGTATGTTTGTACCTATTMAATGCATAATAAACATTTTGRAGCAAATAATAACCGTTCTGTAGTAAATCAGCTAGGAGAATTACGAGCTCACATTCTAAATTATTCGGCACATAGATCTAAGTAATAGGCCCTTTGCAGCTAGTGGTCACGTGCTTGGATACCGCTTAGCAACACAAAACTGGAGWGCAAGCCTTCCAGTAAACAAAAGCTCTAAGAGGTCAAGCACGCGTGGTTTTATACAATAGTTTCATCGTTTAAAACGCTTAATCCTTTTGCCCTATCTACAAAAACAGTAAGRTCATCTTAAATTCTCTCCTTTGGACTCGATTTTTGGTTCGAAGTAACAATATTCATCGCGTTATCGCGAAACATTTGTCACCGCCGTCCCGCTCGACGGCTGAAAAACATGGCGACTTCGCAAGGTATGTACTTCAAAACTCTCCTTTTTTTTTGGTTTCTTTTCAATTATTGGACTTCTAAAATCTCTAAAATAACAGTTTAGATTGTAAATGGTGATCGGTTGTAATTGGACGGCATTTAATGGCCGATTTGTTTATTTTTTGTGAGAGTGATTCCACGTCCAAAGTCAAGACTAACCCATGTTTACATATATTCRCTGTAGATGTTAGAACTCCCGACGAGCCATCACATACCAAGAAAAATTCTTCGTCCTGATATTTTTATTTTTGTTTTAGATGAAGTAGAAACTCAAGACATCTCTATCTTTCCTTCCCTCACCTTCGATGATGTAGGGAGCTACGCTAAAGAGAAGTCTGGCTGCACAAGCACTTCGAAAGCGTACAAATTTATGGCGGAACCAGGCTATTTACATGACGTTAAAGGTACTTGATAGCCAAAATTTTTTTTCTATTTCATTATGATATGAATGGCGGACAATTCACACTAATTTTTCCAATTTTTTAGTGATATATACCGACCAGTSCRTGAGAGTTAAATGCAAGTGTTACCGCTCAATGAGGAAGTCTGAACCACCGCACATTTTAGAGGTGTCAGTCCAGGACAACAATTTGACATTGCTGTCTGGGCTGTGGTCATGTGTAGCTGGGGCAGGTGGATACTGCCATCATGTGATCGGGCTTCTTTACTATTTAGCCCTTCTTAAGCAACTGGGACATCGGAYATTGCCTGATGAGCTAACATGTACCAGCATGAAACAGCGTTGGAGCATACCTAGAGGATCCAAAATCGCACAAAAAGAAATACAAGACGTGCTAGTGAAAAAACCCCAACTTGGCGCTTCGTACAGTAGATATATCAAGAGTAATTTGTATTCTCCATCTACCCAGTATCCTACCCTCACAAAAGAGCACTTTAATGGCTTCCAACCACCTTATCCTCTCTTTACAACCATTCTGCCCAATCAAGATCAACTTGACAATATCCCATTTGTACAGAGCAAGTTTGGAAATGTCCCAAAAGGCTGCGTCCTGTCATATCAACAAAAGATGTCAACTGACTACATCATAAATAATTTTACTTGCACTTCTTTCCCAGAGCTTCCCCTCTCAAGTGCAGAGGACAGATTTAACAACGTGTCAATCTGTCTTGACAGTCGTCAACAAGCTATATTTGGAACATTGTCTGTGACAACAGAGTCATCACTGAGAGTGCAGCAGCAAACAGTCACTMAAAGTCAGAGTGATGTATGGCACCTGCTCAGAAAAAAAAGGGTAACAGCAAGCAAATTTGGCATTGTCGCTCGCCGGGTGTCACATTTTGACACCCTTGTCAATCATCTAAACCCCACCAGATTTGTACAAACTGCAGCAATGAGAAGAGGCATTGAACTTGAACCACATGCTGCCATGGTCTATGCTAGCAATGCAAAGGGTGGAAGAGTAAATCTCTTCCCATCTGGGCTGATTGTCCACCCAAAGTGCCCATGGCTAGGTTGTAGCCCAGACAGGAAAGTTTATGACCTTGATGCCGTAAATAATGGTCAGAATCCCTTTGGCTTGTTAGAAATAAAGGTTGTTAAAGAGGGGGAAACATCATTTGACAATGTGAGGTATCTCTCCAAGGACCAGAACACTAACCAGTACAAACTGAAAACAACAGACATTTATTATTACCAGATCCAGTGCCAGCTTGGACTCACAGGATTAGAATGGTGTGATTTTTTCAGTTACAATGACGAAAATTTGTTTGTTTGCTCTAGAATTAATTTTGATTCAGTGTTTTTCCAGCAAGCAAAGGACAAAGTTGATARTTTTTTCTTCAATTACTATTTACATTAATACACTAAGATTTTTGTTGTTGTTCTCAAACCATGGCCAGATTTCTTATGATAACAAATATTATATTATTGTAATAGTTACAAAAACAATCTAAGACACATGATAAACCAACCTGCATTAAAGATTACCTAATGGGTTATGTAAGCCACATTAATCATACATTGACCAACTTTTTACAGACACTATGCCTCATTATTACCACTGGCTAAAATAAGTGGGCCTTGAAAATTTGTAAGGAGGCAGGCTACAGTATATAACTGATTGACTGAACCTAAAGTGGACAATGGCACATCTGAATCAAAAAMGTGGTACTCTTTGACTCTTCTTATTGCCCTCTCAACATGAATTCTAAGACTTGCTATTGTCTTTGTTTTTTGAACATCTGCAGCAGAGAATTGTTCCTGACTTTCAAGAAACGGAGGAATATTTAACTCTACCCGCTTCTCCCTAAGTAAATCTTCAATGTCAAACCCTTTGTCTGCCATGACTGAATCACCAGGTTCTAACAAATCTAGAATACTGCTGCACCTTGTGATTTCCTTATCACTAATCCCCCCTGTGTAAAGACTAGAAACGAAGCTAATAGCTCCATTAGGGGTAATGCCTATCAAACCCTTGAGTGTAGTATTATTCTTATAACTAGAATAAAGCTGCGACTGAAGTAGTAGGGAGGTAGGTGTTTGAACAAAAATCTCTGTACAATCTAAAATGACRCGTGTGCTTGCATAAAGCYTTTTAAAACCTTCTGGCATAAACCTATCAACATCTTGCCTTGAAGGCCAGATCACTTGACT